TATGTTGTCTTTTCTGAAGAGTTCTTAATTTTAATATAGTCCAAGTTTTCAACGTTTCTCTTTACAGTTAGTGCAATTTATGTCTTGTTCAGGAATCCTTCCCTCCCATAAGGTCATGGAGATATCCTGCTATATTGTCTTCTAACAGCTCTGTTGTTTTGTCTCTCATACAACAGAAGGTCTTCAATCCACCTGCGCTTGAGTTTTGTTCCTGGTATGAACTAGGGGTGCAATTTTATGTGATTGCATTCAGATCCCTAGTTGCCCACGTCTGTCACTGAAAAGTCTATCTTTTTGTCACTTCACCGTCACCTCCTCTACCCTAGATGATATTTCCTGTGGTTGAGGTCTATTTCTAGGTTCTGTATTCTGTTTCATTGGTCTGTTAGTCTTTCTCAGTACAACACCATCTTATTTTCTCTGATGTTGTAATATCTCTTGATAGCCTGCAGAGCCACTCCTCACATACTGCTCTTCTTTATGATTGTCTTGGCTATATGTGGAAATATCTACTTCAATACAAACTTTGCAATGGAGTTATCAAGTTCCACAAAAATCGCCTGGGAGATGGGTGACATATTGCTTTGATTCTACATATTAATTTGGGTAGAATTGACATTTATACAATAGTGTTTTTAAACCATTAACGTGGCATATTTTTCAATTTATTTACGTCTTTAATGTTCTTCAATACAGATTTACGATTCCCTCCATTGAGGAGGTGCACATTATAACTTTGTTATATAGTTAGATATATCCCAGGCATATCATAATTTTTTTATGCTATTGTCAATGGCCTCTTTTATAAAATCCCATTTTTTGTTTATTACTGTGATATGGAAATGCAGTAGACTTTTGTAATTTTTTTTGACTTTTGTCATTTGATTTTGTCTCTAGCAACTTTCCTAGCTCTCTTATTAAGCCCCAAAACGTATCTGTATATACTTTTGGACATTTCTGTATATGCAATCTTTCATGAAGAAAGACTTCTCTGTTGTCTTTAAATTCTTATACTTTTTGATTATTTTTATTGCCTTACTAGGATAAGACCTGATGCTACTCCATTAGGTAGGATGTTTTCTGAAGACACCCTTTTACTTGTTAAGGAAATTTTCCTTTATTTCTAATTGGCTGCGAGTTTTATCATGAAGGACTCTGAAATCACTCAATGCTCATTTTTTTGTCTCTTGAGATTTAATCGGTCAAGGGCCAATCATGAAAATAGAAGCCACACAACAGAGGGAATTTAATATAAGGAATTTGTTATGCAGATGTTGAAAGGCCATTGGAGCACAAAGGGAGAATTGCTAGACGTCTTGGACTACTCTAATCTAAGTTGCCAGTTTGAGATTTCTTTTTAGTTTTTTTTGTATATATTATTTTTCTATTGAGATATAATTGACATAAAGTTATGTTCATTTTGTTACCCTTGTCCCTGGCCCCTTAAGACATTAAGCACAACGCTGCTCAGGACAAGCCTAATGTGTTGTCTTTAGCTTGCAGGAAACCACAAAGAAAGGAAGGAGAAGACGGCTGAACAAAACATCAGGCATCTAACATGATGATTCGATATACGTATATATTGTGAAATGATCACCACAACATGTCTAGCTAACGTCTATTACCACATGTAGCTACATTTTTTTTTCTTGTTATGAGAACCTTTTTTTTCCCAGTAACTTTCTTGAGATCATAATGGTTTATAACATTGTGTAATTTCGGGTCCAATTATTGTCCATCATTGTACATATGTGTTCCTTTCACCCACCCCCCACCTCCCCTTTGCCTCTGGTAACCACTAATCTGTTCTCTTTATCCATGTATTTGTTATCTTTCACATATGAGTGAAATCATGCAGTATTTGTCTTTCTCTGTCTGACTTATTTCACTTAAAATCATACCCTCAAGGTCCATCCATTTTGTTGCAAATGGGACGATTTTGTCTTTTTTTTTTTTTTTTATAGCTGAGTAGTATTCCATTGTGTATATATATACCACATCTTCTTTATCCAATAATCATTTGATGGGCACTTGGGTTGCTTCCACATCTTGGCTAGTGTGAATAATGCTGCAATGAACATAGGGATTCATAAGTCTCTTTGGATCATTGATTTCAAGTTTTTTGGATAAATGCCCAGTAGTGGAGTAGCTGGATCATATGGTATTTCTATTTTTAATTTTTTGAGAAATCTCCATACTGTTTCTCATAGTGGCTGCAACCATTTGCATTTCCACCAGCAGTACATGAGGGTTCCCTTTTCTCCACATCCTCTCCAACATTTGTTGTTTTTGGTTTTGGTAGTTGTAGCCATTCTGACTGGTGTAACGTGATACATCATTGTTGTTTTGATTTGCATTTCCCTAATAATTAGTGATGTTGATGTCTGTTGGCTATATGTATATCTTCTTTGGAGATGTGCCTGTTCATATTCTCTGACCATTTTTTTTATTGGGTTTTTGTTTTTTTGTTGTTGAGTTGTATGAGTTCTTTACATATATATTTTGGAGATCAACCCCTTGTCGGATAAGTGATTTTCAAATATTTCCTCCCAGTTGGTGGGTTGTCTTTTCATCTTGTTCATGGTTTCCTTTGCTTTGCAGAAGCTTTTTAGTCTGATGTAGTCCCATTTGTTAACTTTTTCATGAGAAATTTTAATAGCTACTCCTCTAGCAACTTTAAATATTCAATACAGTATTATTATGTTATTATAGTTAATAGTATTATTAACTGGTATTGTTAACTATAGTGACCATACTGTACATTACATCCCCAGGATTTACTTGTTTTATAACTGGAAGTTTACACATTTTGACCACCTTCACCCGTTTTGCCCACCCCCCCCCACTCCCTGCTTCTGGCAACCAATCTCTGTATCTATGAGTCCCTTTTCTTTTTTTTTAAAATTCCACACATAAGTGAGATTATATGGCATTTGTCTTTCTCTGTCTGACTTATTTCACTTAGCATAATGCCCTTCTTTTTTATGGCTGAATAGTATTTTACTGTGTGTTTATATATATCACATTTTCTTTATCCATTCATCCATCAATGGAAACTTAGATTGTTTCCATGTCTTGACTATTGTAAATAATGCTGCAATGAACATGGGGTGCAGAAATCTCATCGAATTTCTGTTTTAGCTTCTTTCGAACAAATACCCAGAAGTGGAATTGCTGGATCATATGGTAGTTCTATTTTTAATTTTGGAGGAACTTTCACACAGTCTTCCATAGTGACTGCACCAATTTACATTTCCACCAATGGTGCACAAGAGTTCCCTTGTCTCCACATCCTTGCAACACTTTTTACTTCTTGTGTTTCTGATAATCCCAGCTTGAGATCTGCTAGACCACCAGCTGCTGTGAATTTGTGCCGCACGACTACGTGGGCCCTGGCCTTCTTCACTTCCTGCTTTGCCCCGCCATCTTCCCTGCAGCACGTGAGGAGCGGGGGATGCAGCCGGTGTTCTCTGGTTCTCCCGGACCCCTCGGCAGGGGCAGTCCTGGGTTCTGTGGAGCCTGACATTTATACAGAGGTTGAGATCACTGCTTAGAAAACAAATACAAAATGTGCCACACATATGAATATTTTTGAAATGAGAAAACACATCACATTAAATCATAAAAGCTAAAATGCTCAAAGGGGCTGGCCTAGTGGCATAGTGATTAAGTTCACACACTCTATTTCGGCGGCCCAGAGTTAGCAGGTTCGGATCCTGGGCACAGATCTACACACCACTCATCAAGCCGTGCTGTGGCAGTGTCCCACACACAAAATAGAGGAAGATAGGCACAGATGCTGGCTCAGGGCCAATCTTCCTTACCAAAATAAATAAATAAATAACTCAAAACCCAAATACAAAACAACTAAGAAAAATTAGAGAGTATTTTTATTAATAGTACGGAATACCTGTCTGGCACATCAGCCTGACGCATTTTCCTCACAGTTTTTCACTCATACTCTTTGATTGCCTCTTTAGAGGGGAATAATATTTTTATACAGTATATAAATAGATATTAATAAATATTATTAATTATAGAATATTCTATATATATAATAGAAAATATAGAAAGAGAATTCAGTATTTCCTCTGACAAGATTCATTGGAATTTGTTTTTATCTTTTATAGTTTAAGAAACTTTCTTTTAATCCTACAACCTGTCACTGGGAATGTCTAAACTGTTTAAGATCATTGTCAAATTTGGGGAAATGTTGATCAATTTCTTTCATAAAAGAGCAGGAGGATTACAGGTTATTTCCACACATGGCCTAAGTCCTCACCAGGGCTTTGAAAAAGGGACGGTGCCCATGAGGGGCCCTGAAGTTTGAGCTTCTGTGCTGAGGTCTAGACTTTTGGGGTCCCTGCTGAATGGGGACATCCTGTTTTGTGCCGGCCTTTGCTCCATTGCTGTCCCCCAATATGCTCAGATTGATGAATGTGCCAGGTTAGCAAAACCCCTCAGAGCAAAGGGGTTTAACCTTCAGCTTTCCTCCTTGAGTTTCACCATCCACTGGATTTGGGTCTGCAAATTCTTTTCTTTCTTGAATGGTTTTAAGAAAATTTAAAGTTATTCTTTTCCAGAATATTCCATGGTTTTCAGCTGGAGGGGGCGGGGGTCCCATCGAATCACCCGACTAGCCCTCCTTCCTGTTTTCTAACTGCTCTGGCCCCTCGGTGACTTCACTCTTGACTTAGACCAGCATTTGGAAGGTGATCATTTCCAGATTCCTGTGTGGACGAGACTCTTAATCTCTGGGGACCTCGGGATATTCACCTGCAGCGTCGGGTGAAGGGAGAGGGTGGGACAGGATGGTTTCTGAGCCCCTACCTCCCTCCACGCCCTGTGGTGTCCAAGTTCCCCTTCCGTGGAGGCTGCAGCTCTCCCTTACCCACTGGCTTCCTGTTGGGGCTTCCTCGGCCCCACCCCACGTTCGGGGCATTTCCTTGCCTGACAGAGGGAGCTGGACCTGGGCTCTGCCCTGGCGCCTCGAGGCAGACATGGTGCCCCTGCTGCTGCTGCCCCTGCTGTGGGGGGGTGAGTGGCTGAGGGATGAGGGACGGGACTGGTGGGGGAGGGGCTGGAGCTGCAGCTGAGCCTCTGTGTCCCCCCAGGGTCCCTACAGGAGTATCCAGGGTACCAGCTCCATGTGCAGGAATTGGTGACAATGCAGGAGGGCCTGTGTGTCCTCGTGCCCTGCTCCTTCTCCTACCCCTCGGGTTCCAGCTATGGTAAACTCTACATATACTGGTTCCGGGATGGGGACAACAGGCGCCTCCATAGCCTTGTGGCCACAAATAACCCAGAGCAACAAGGGAATACAGAGACTCAGGGCCGGTTCCTCCTCCTCGGGGACCTCAGGACCAACAACTGCTCCCTGAGCATCAAGGACGCCAGGAGGAGTGACACAGGTGTCTACTTCTTCCGAGTGGAGAGAGGATATTATGTGAACTATAATTACAGAGATAAGAAGCTGAATTTGCAGGTGACAGGTACGGCAGGGGCCCCAGGAGAGGACCCTGGGACATGGGGACCCTCGTCTTAGAACAGGAACAGGACACTGGAACATTCTCTGCTCCAGACCTTTGGGCTGGGATGGTCAGAAGGATACAGGACCTAAGGTCAGCTCAGGCCCTGAGGCTCTGGTCCCTCTCAGGGTCCCCACCTCCCTGGGGCCCAGGCATCTCCCTGTTTCCTCCTCAGACCTGACAGAGAAACCCGACATCCACTTTCTGGAGCCTGTGGAGTCTGGCCGCCCCACAAATCTGACCTGCAGCCTGCCAGGGTCCTGTGATGGGGGAAGACCTCTCACGTTCTCCTGGGTGGGGGATGCTCTTGACTCGCTGGACCCTGGGACCCTCCAGTCCCCGTGGCTCACCCTCACCCTGAGGCCCCAGGACCACGGCACCAACCTCATCTGTCGGGTGAAACTCCAAGGAGCTCAGGTGACCACGGAGAGAAACATCCAGCTCAATGTCTCCTGTGAGTGTTGGAGGGATGGCTGGTCCCTGAAGGCAGAGGGGTGTGTGTGTGTAGGGAAGGGGAAGAGAGCAAGGGCGAGCTGACCTGTGAACACTGGTGCGTGGATCTGGAGTCCAAGTGGGGAGTGGGCAGGATGGACAGCAATCCCCACCTTCCCGGTTTCTACCACACTCCTTGGATGCTGGGTCCACTTCCTTCCCACTCCTCACCTCTGAAGCAGGGACATATCTTTCTCTCCCAGATGCTCCACAGAACCTCACGATCCGCGTCTTCTCCGGAAATGTCACAGGTAGGAAAGATGCTCTCTTCTCTGGGGCTGTGATGGGAGTGGGGCCTCTGCCAGCTCACGGCTTGGAGAAGAGACCCTTGACCCTCACTACTCAGCCCCCTGGGTCTGGGTCTGCCTGTCACCCACCCTCACTGCCATCTCATGTCGATGGGACCTGTATCGTTGTTGGCTCATCCATGTTCTTTCCTCTAGCTTTTATTTATTTATTATTATTTTGAGATATGATTGACATATAGCATTATATTAGTTTGAGCTGTACAACATAATGATTTGATATTTGTGTATATTGTGAAATGATCACCACAATAAGTCTAGTTAACAGCTATCACCATATGTAGCTACAGAATTTTTTTTCTTTTTTGGTGAGGAAGATTGGCCCAGAGCTAACATCTGTTGCCAATCGTCCTCTTTTTGCTTGAGGAAGATTGTCCCTGAGCTAACATCTGTGCCAATCTTCCTCCATTTTTGTATGTGGGATGCCGCCACAGCATGGCTTGATGAGTGGTGCGTAGGGCTGCCCAGGATCAGAACCTGCGAACCCCGGGCTGCTGAAGCGGAGAGCGCGAACTTAACCACTATGTCACTGCGTCAGCCCCTAGCATTTTATTTTCTTGTGATGAGAACTTCTAAGATTTATTCTCTTAGCAACTTTCAAATATGCAACACAGTATTGTTAACTATAGTCGCCATGTGATATGTTACCTCCCCAGGACTTATTTATTTTATAACCGCAAGTTTGTTCCTTTTGATCCCCTTCATCTTTTCATTAGTTTTTAAGATTATTTTTAATTGTAGTTAAGAACACATAGCATAAATTTTACCATGGTTGCCATTTTTAACGGTACAGCTCAGCAGTGTTAAGTACGTTCACAGTGTTGGGCAACCAGTCTTTTCTTGCAGAACTGAAACTCCATACCCATCAGACACTAACTCCTAATTCCCCTCTCTTCCTCCCAGCCCCTGGCGACCAGCATTCCTCTTTCTGTCTCTGTGATTTGGACAACTCTGGGTTCTGCTCCCTTTTCTTGAGTTTGTCTGCTCTCACCTCCTATGATATGTACCCTCTTTCATCTCTGATGTGATCATCTTTTCCAGAAGCCTTGAATGCTCCCATTCCCCATGGCTCCACCCTGGTCCCTTGTTTCATTCTCTCTCCCCTTTCCTGGGCATATTCATTCCCTTCCATGTCTCCCCTTCAGATCCCAACCCTACCATGATGCCTCCATAACTTTATATCCAACCACGGATCTACACATTTAGCCACCTCTTGCTGATGCCTCTCAACTGCCCCCAACCAACCCCTACTTAACCCAGAAGTGGTGTGGACATAACGCTAGACGCTCCCTTTCTCTCTGCTGCACCTCACGAGTCAGCGAGTCTCCAGGACTTCACTTCATAAATTACTTCCCTCTTCTCCTTGCCCTTGGCCCAGACCCAGCTCCTGTCTTTGTCCTCGACCCTGGACCATTGCCTCAGCCTCCCTGTCTCCTGTCCATCCCTCGCTTCCAGGCCTCACTTGGCCCCGGCAGGATCTTTCTAGACTCAGCACTGATTCTGTGTTTCCCCTACTCACAGACCTTACGACTTTCCCATGAGCACAGGACAAATGCCCTCAGCCTGGCACTCAACACTCCAAAACATCTGACTTGCTTCTCTCACGTCACTATCGTGTGTTTGGTTTCCTGGTCCTCCCTGCAAGCAGCAGACACAGGTGCATCCCATCATCTGCCAGCCTGACTCAGCTCTGGGTGCATCTCCACCTGAGCTGCACACACATTTCTCCTCATCCTTCCATCTCAGCTCAGCCCCCTTTTTCTGGTACCCTGAGCTGACCATGAGGGTTGTTGCCCCTTCAGCCACGATTAACCCACCTCTTGCTCTTGTGACATGGCCCTGCCTTTCTCCTTCTGGCTCTGTAGGAAGAGCGAGGGGGAGACAGACCCCTCAGCTCCCCCTACCTTGCTGTGTTTCTCTCACCCAGCCCTGAAGACCCTGAGCAACAGCACATCGCTGCCTGTCCTGGAGGGCCAGTTCCTGCGCCTGGTGTGCGTGGCTGATAGCAAGCCCCCTGCCAGGATGAGCTGGTCCCGGGAGGGAAAAACCCTGAGCCCCTCCCAGCCCTCAGCACCTGGGGTCCTGGAGCTGCTCCAGGTCGGGGCTGGAGATGGAGGGGAATTCACTTGCCGAGCTCAGAACCTGCTGGGCTCCCAGCATGTTTCCTTCAGCCTGTCTGTGCAGAGTGAGTTGCAGGACAGGTGCTGGGAGCGGGCAGCCTGGTCAGCTGTTTGGCTGTGGGAGGGGCTGGGGTCTGGGGGCAGAACTTCACTCTCTCCCCTTCCCCAGGATGCCCCTCTTCATGCAGCTGTGTGACTGGGGAGCAGCAGTGCTCCTGGCCCCTGGTCCTCACCCTGATCAGAGGGGCCCTCATGGGGGTTGGCTTCCTCCTCACCTATGGTCTCACCTGGATCTACTACACCAGGTGAGGAGGCCTGTCCCTCTCCAGGGAAGTCCAGTGACTGGCCCCTGACTTCCAAGTGGGCTGAGTTGTTCTGCCGCCTGGAGTCAGAGTTAAAATGACCGACTCTGATCTGAGACCTGTGTTGGCTCTGCAGGTGTGGAGGCCCCTAGGGGGCAGTGCTGAGAGGCCTCACTAAGGATCCTTCCTTCTCAAAGTGGGACTGAGGTGTGGACACAGAGTCCAGAGGGACAGACGTGGGGACATCGCTGTCAGCTTCTCCCGGGAAACTCTCGACTCAAACTCTATCTCATTTGTACCCATGGATTTCAATTTGTGGATGTGACTGAGTGACGACATGGACAGTTCAATGCCACTGAAAGATTTTTATTACTTACGTTTCTGGAGAGGAGGTGGCACATCACTCCCTGCAATGCCACAGGGGAAGCACCAGGTTTGGTCAGGAGACAGAAGCAGGCATGGGGGAAGCCTAGCCCAGGGCCTTTATTGGGGTTTCCTCAGGAAGGAAGTTAGGGCAGGCACATGGTTTAGGATTAGCTGGTTTGAACCATTCTGTGGGGCTTTGGCTAATAGGGGTGGTCTCTAGTTGTCTGGTACCTGGTCTTTGGTAATTAGGGCAGGGGACATAGTGGTTTGGTGGGTGGGAGTTAGATCAAGAGTGTGCCTGGGGGACATGGACTCAGGATTGGTTGGTTTGCATCTGAAAGGTGTCTCCTGGCAGAGCCCTTTGCGGTGTCTAAGATTTGGCTACTCCTCAGAGTGGGGCAGACTCCCCCTGGCCAGAAAGCTTTTATGATGTCAAAACATCATAAGATACAGAAAATAAGAACATGATCATTTCACACACACCCCACTGACTGCCCCCTTGTTTCTGCCTGCTCCTCTCCCCATCTCTTACCAACCCCTCCTTGTTGGTCCTGCCCACCGCCCCTCCCACCCTCCTCTCTCTCCCTCCCCAGCCCTACTAAGGGAATGAACTTGGAGCCTTACCTTCCTTTACCCAGAAGTTACCTGGTTAACACCTGAGTTTCTGGTCTCCCAAACTTCCCCATCAATGGAGACATCCATACACAGCAGAGTCAGGAGCACGGCTTTTCTTTCCCGGTTTAAAGACGCCCATCTCGTAATTATTATTATAAAAGATGACAACGTTTATTTATAAATAAAAGTTTTAGTAAGCAATACAACTTAAGAAGCAATGTTACCATTGAGTGTCTCCGTGGGAGTTTCTAGAGCAAAATTATGTGTGAATCTTCTGTTCTTTTTTTGTTGAACTTGTTTCCACTACAGCTTTTTGTCTATTCATTGTTTTCTTGATGCCTAACTTATATTGAGTAAAACATGCAAATCTAAAGAGTACAACTAGAGGAATGTTTATGTATGTGCACACCCACACTTCCACCACCAAGCTCCACATACACGTTCTTTCCACCCACCCCTGTGGTCAGGTCAGGCTACCAGAGAGAAAGGGGCTGAGCTGAGGTTGGAAGGATGAGAAGTGGGCGGGAAGCTTGGGTGGGGACATGACAAGAGCTGAGCCAGGCTGGCAGATGTGGGGGTGCACCTGTGTCTGCTGCTTGTGGGGAGGACCAGGAGAACCCAACACACACGATGGTGGGAAAGAAGGCAGCTCAGATACCCAGATACAGCCTTGAGTGCAGGCTGAGGACACTGGGCTTCATCTTGTGACCCTTCAAGTCAGCACAGTCCCGAATGTACCACCTCCCTCTTTCCTGTCCTTGTAAATCTGTACTGCCAGTGTTTGTGCTTCGTAGAAGTGGAGTCAAACTTCATATTCACTTTAATGTTTAGCTGTTTTCTCCCAATGTTATGGCTTTCAGATTTATCCCTGTTGTTCCATCTATCAATAACTCATTGTTCCTTTTAGTATTGGTTTTCCTTTTAATATAGTATTTCATGTGTGAATATACTTCCGGTTATTTATCTATTCTACAGATAAATAAATTCAATGGCATTGAATTTGTTTCCAGTTTATGGATTTTCAAAAATAATTTTGATATGAATTTTGGGATGAAAGTGGGAGCACTAGCACTTTGTTCCTGGTGGTTATGTGGTTGCTCTGTCGTAAGGTAGGCATGTATTTAGCTGTAGAAGATGCTATCAAATGGGTCTCCTGAATGGTCAAGTGAGTTTACATCCCCACCATCACGTATGAGAGTCCTCATCTCTCTACATCCTTAGCCGCACTTTTATTGTCTGCACGTTCAGTTTTAATCATTGCAATCCCTTTGTGGTGCTATCTTACTGTCGTTTTAATTTGCATTTCCCTAATGAGTCATGATGTTGAGACTTTTTCATATATTTCTTAGCCATTTGAATATCTCCTTTTGTGAAATGCCTGTTCTGGTGTCTTGTCCATTTAAAAATAAAAATTGGGCTATCTTTTTTGTATTGATTTTTTTCAAGTTCTTTATTCTGGATGTGAGTTTTTTAAATTGTGACTCTCTTTTCCTACTTGTCACTCTCTTTAGTGATGAGCAAGAGTTTTAAAATTTTTAATGAAATCTCTTTTGTCAGTCTTTTCACTTATGTGTAGTGCTCTTGCTGTCCTAGTTACGAAATCTTTGCATATCCCAGTATCTTAATGGTCTTATCAAATATTTCCATTGCTTAATTTTTATTAACTTATCATCTAGTAAAATTTATTTATTTTTTGATGTACAGTACAATGAATTTTAATGGATATATGGATTTGTTTCACCAACACCACCACAGTTAGAATATAGAACAATTTCATTTCCCCAAATACTCTCTTGTGCTGTTCCTTGATAGTTACACCTTCCAACCAGCCTTAACCCCTGGCAACCCCTGATCTGTCCTGCATCTATTGTTTTATCTTTTCAAGAATGTCATACAAGTGAAGTTATGTGGTGTGTATCGTTTTAGGGACTGGCTTCTTTCACTCAGCACAATGCCTTTGAGATTGATCGTAGTTCATTTCTTTATACTGCTGAGTAGTATTCCATTGTACAGAAGTACGATATTTATTTATCCATTCACCTGTGAAGGACATTTGCATTGATTTCAGTTTTTGATGATTATGAATAATGCTTCTCTAAACATTCATGAGCAAGTCGTTGTGTGGACATGTTTTCATTTCCCTTGGATAGATTCCTAGGAGTGGGATTACTGGGCGATATGGGAAGTTTATATTTAACTGTATAAGAAACTGTCAAACTGTAGTTTGTGGTTTTCCTGGAATTGGCCCATTTATTTAAGCTGTTAAGTTTATATGCATAGAGTTTCTAGTACTAGTCCGTTGTTATCATTTCAATATCTGTGGGTTAGGTAGTGATGTCCTTTCTTTCATTCATGATATTAATAATATGTATCTTTTCACCATTTTGTTTAATCTTGTGAATCTTGTTAGAAGTCTGTCAACTTGATTGCAATTTTTAAATTGCCAGTATTTGCACTCATTGTTTTTAAATTGCTTTTCTCTTTTCAATTTTCTTGATTTCTGCTTTATCTTCATGATGCATTCTGCTTGCTTGAGTACAATGTATATTCTGCAGTTTGTGGGTGTAGTGTTTTATATCTGTAACTTAGGTCACATTGCCTTATTGTGTTCAAATCTTTCATTTCTCTATCTATTTTTTTTGCTTGTTCTATTAGTTACTGAGAGAGTCAGATCCATCAACTTGTGCTTTGTATGTTTTGAAACTATGTTATTAGGTGCATATAAATTGAGAATTATTGTGTATTCTTGTTGAAGTGAACTTTCTCTTTAGAAATACTTCTTGCTGATATCCTTATAAGTTTTTTGATTACCATTAACATATCAAGTCCTTTTCCATTCTTTGTTTTTCAGTCATTCTGTGTTCTTATGTATGAAGTATGTGTGTCAAATAGCTAATGTTCTTTTTTAAAATCCATTCTGGCAAGCTTTGTCTTCTGTTTGATTTGTTTTGTCTTATTACAGATATTGTAATTTCTGATATAATTGGTGCTTCCAGGGACTAGAGGCAGAGAAAAATGGGCAGTCATTTTTTCACAGGTACGGAGTTTCAGTTTTGCAAGATGAAAAAATTCTAGAGATCTTTGCACAACAATGTGAATATTCTTTTTTTGTGTGTGTGAGGAAGATCAGCCCTGAGCTAACATCTGGTGCCAATCCTCCTCGTTTTGCTGAGGAAGAATGGCCCAGGGCTAACGTCCATGCCCATCTTCCTCTACTTTATACGAGGTGCTGCCACAGCATGGCTTGACAAGCGGTGCATCGGTATGCACCCGGGATCTGAACCTGTGAACACTTGGGCAGCCAAAGCGGAGCGCACGCACTTAACCACTGCGACACCGGGCCATCATCTGAATATTCTTAACTCTACTGAACTGTATATTTAACAATGGTTAAGATGATAAATTTTGTGCCATAATTAACAATTTTAAAAAAATCATTTTCTTTTCACTTGAAGAACTTACATTAGTATTTTTATAATGAAAGTCGACTGAAGTTCATATGTTCATTTCTTTTTATCCTGAAATATTATTTCAATTTACTTTTTGAAGAATATTTTGTTTGTGTGTGGAATTCTGGGTGATATATATATATATATATATATATATATATATATATATATATTTTACTCTATACATATATTTTATTGACACAGATTGATTACACACAAATCAAGTCAATTATTTTTCAGTGAAAATTATAAATTTGCTATCAAATTTTTAAGTGTGAGCAACGGAGAATAAAAAGCTTGTGAACAAAAAATTAAAATGGGAAATAAAAGATAACTTTGTTTTAAATACATGGTACAAGAACTAGAGTAATATGAAAAAGTCAAAATACAGTGATAAAGTACCACAGATGATCATAATAATATTATGAAGTCTACTTATTGTGATTTTAATAGCATGTAATTATAAATTCTTTTTTTTAAAATTGATGTCATAATAGTTTATAACATTGTGAGGTTCCAGTTGTACATTATTATTTGTCAGTCACTGTATAAATGCCCCCCTTCACCCTTGTGCCAAGCCCCCAACTCTTTTCCCCTGATAACCACCAAA